TGTCAAAGTAGGCTTAAAATTCAATTTATACAATTCTTCAACCTTAGCCGATACTCTGACGCCCAGGTAAACAAAGCCAGTACTCGACCATCTAAATGGAAAATTAACAAGAGATGCACGGTCTCCAAAGTCACCCAGTGGCAGGGCCTCTGATTTGTCATAGTTAATTTTGTATCCTGAAATTTGGCCAAATTGATCTATAATTGCTACCAGAGCGGGTATAGAATTCTCTGGTTTAGTGATAAACAGTAATATGTCGTCAGCATAAAGCGATATTTTGTATTCAATATCTCCTAAAGTTACACCGGATAGTCCATTGTGATTCCTAATAGTCTCAGCAAGTGGCTCGAGAGCAAGTGCAAATAAAAGCGGTGAGAGGGGACAACCCTGACGCGTACCTCTACTCAAGGGGAAAATGTCAGACACCAAGCCATTTACCATGACCCGGGCCGTGGGAGACCTGTATAGAAGCTTAACCCACTGAATAAAATCTGAGCCCAGCCCAAATTTATCAAGAACATCAAGGTACTCCCACTCCACCCGGTCAAATGCTTTTTCAGCGTCTAAAGAGACCGCCAGAACCCTCTTCTTAGTGCTATGCGAAAATTGTATTATGTTTAGGAGCCTTCGAACATTTGAGAAAGAATATCTATTTTTTACAAAACCAGTCTGGTCTGGTCTGACTAAAACAGGTAGCATCTCCTCCAGCCTTCTAGCCAGGAGTTTTGATAATATTTTACAGTCAACACCAAGCAAACTTATTGGTCTATAAGACCTGCAACAATCAGAAGGCTTATCTTTTTTTAAAATCAAAGAGATGTGGGCCAGATTTAAAGTTGGTGGAAGCGTGCCTCTTTCAAATGATTCAGTAAACATGCTAGTCAGGGGTCCAACCACCAGCTTAATCATCTTTTTATAAAATTCAGGCCCGAATCCATCCGGACCCGGGGCTTTCCCACTCTGTAGTGATTTAATGGTCTCTGCAACTTCTTGTGCTGTAATTGGTCTACATAAGTCATTTCTACAATCTTCAGTTAGAGTGGGAAGATGTATTCTATCAAAAAATCTTTTCCTCTGCTCTGGAGTGTTTTGGCATTCGGAGGAATATAGTTCTTGATAAAAATCCTTAAAAATTTTGCATATGGTTTTGGTTTCGAAATGCTCTGTGCCTTTACTGTCCCTAACCGATGGAATAACATGAGGCCCTGTCTGGTCCCTGGCTAGTCGAGCCAGGAGCCTCCCAGGTTTATTGCCAGATTCGAATAATCTATGCTTAGCAAAAAAGATGGCAGATTCTGCTTTTTGAGACAAAAGTTGGTCTAGGGCAGAGCGGGCTGCTTCTAATTTTTTAAGTATAGATAATGAGGCTGTGGTCTTGAGGTCCCTATCCAGAGCTTTAATTTGTTGCTCAAGTTCTATTTGTTTTGCCAGCATACTTTTTCTCTTTGCAGCAGTATAGGAAATTATGGCTCCCCTCATGAAGGCCTTGCCTGTTTCCCACAGAGTAGACGGAGAGATCTCAGGTGAATCATTTGTTGAGATGAAAATGTCCCATTGTGATTCCAAATATGTTAAAAATGCAGGGTCACTTAAAAGAGAAATATTTAAGCGCCAGCGTCTAGATAGGGGGTTATAGTAAGGTGGCCTGAGTTCTATAGACCATTTCACAAGATGTAAACAACACTGGTCCAGAAGCACTTCCTGTTTCAGTTTGTAACCGTTTTCTTTATTTAACATGTAAAGAAACATCTTAAAGATGTTTGTTTAACTTTTTGATTCAGTTTTAAATGGTCTGTTAGTTGTATTTTATCCCAGCTTATATGTAGTGTTAAAAAACTGAAACAGGAAGTGCTTCTGGACCAGTGTTGTTTACATCTTGTGAAATGGTCTATAAAGACCGATGAGTGGTCTGAGAGGGCACATGGATTGATAGAACAGTTTATAGTCTTGTCCAGGATTAACCTCGAGACAAGAAAATAATCAATTCTTGAAAAAGAGTGATGAGGGCGAGAAAAAAATGTGAAGTCTTTATCTTGCGGATTAATTACCCTCCATGCATCAAATAAAACCAGATCTGAACAGAGCTCCTTTGTAGCTTGAGCCATTTTGGTGGGGGGAAAAGTTTTATGTGGGCTGTGGTCCATTTCTGGGGCCAACACGCAGTTAAAATCTCCTCCAAGTATGACATATGGAGGGCAAATTGAGGAGATGTCAGCCAATAATTTAGAATAAAACGAGCTATCAAATGTATTGGGGGTATAGACGCTTCCTATAAGAACACGTTCTCCATATAGACACCCAGTGACAGCAACATACCTTCCTTCAGTATCTTGAATGACTTTATCAAGTGTAAATGTAAGATTTTTATGGATAAGTATTGCCACTCCTCTACTCTTTGAGTTAAATGAAGAATAATAAATTTGACCGACCCAATCTCGCTTTAATTTTTTTAAGTGTTCCAGATCAGTGAGGTGGGTCTCTTGTAATAATGCCACTTGTACATTATCTTTTTTGAGCATAGAAAGAATTTTCCGCCGCTTCACCACATGATTGATACCTTTGACATTTAGTGTAATAATTTTTGTGTTACTCATGACATGGACTTAAAGAGTAGCAAATAAGAGCAATGAATCCATTTAGGGTAGATAAAACATATAGAACGGTTAAAAAAACAAAAAAAAAAAAACACATATTGCACGTCACACTTGTTGGACAGATACATTGTGCTGGGATAAATTTGCCCATCTCGAACAAATGGGAGAACGTCAGAACAAAAACAAAAAGCTACCCAATGGGTAGTGTTGTAAGAGCACATGCTGCTGAAAAGAAGTAATCGCTTCTGGAAAACAAAACAGTTTCCATATCTCACTCCCACCCCCACAACATAAAGTTTGCGAGCACATTATTATTCTGATAAGTCAGATCAGCAAAAAGATCCTTTAGCAACAATATTACTGGTAACATCAAATCCCTCGTATCTCTAGGACGAAACATAGTTGAACCAACTCGGCTCCGAACCCATTTAAATTCTCATGCAAACTGTTTTAGTTTGCTGTGGTAATAGTTTTAGAATATATAGTCTTCTGTATATCCCAGGATGTCTTTCGTAAGAGCAGGGGTGTAACCCCGGCATCCTGGCCAAATTTGCCCAGTAGCCTCTGTCTATCATGGCCTCCTAATCATCCCCATATACACCAATTGGCTTCATCACTGTCTCCTCTCCACCAGTAAGCTGGTGTGTGGTGAGCGTTCTGGCGCAATATGGCTGCCGTCGCATCATCCAGGTGGATGCTGCACATTGGTGGTGGTTGAGGAGATCCCCCCTTCTATGTGAAGCGCTTTGAGTGTCCAGAAAAGCGCTATATAAATGTAACGAATTATTAATTATATATATAAAACTTACTCAGTCCTTAGCGAACCAGCAGATGAGAATCACAGCCCGGAGTCATCTTCTGACTCTATTCCAGCGTATTGAGAAAGTTTTCTGCAGCTCTTCGTGTTTCAAATTTGTGCTCCGTACCGTTGTGGTTCACGGTGAGTGTAGCTGGGAATCGCATGTTGAAACGGATACCTTTGTCAATGAGGGCTTGACATACGCTATTGAAGGCGCGACGTTTCTTACGGACCGCAGTAGACAGGTCTTGATGAATAAATATCTTTTTGCCCTCGTACTCCAGGTTCGGCTTTCCCCTCAGTGCTGCCATTATCCTGGGTTTGTCTCTGGAATTGTGTAGCTTAATAATCACCGGACGTGGACGCGCTCCCTGTAGTCCCAAGCTGCGATGTGCCCGGTCGATCTTAATACGACTTTTAGTACCGGGGCTACCCTCTAATTCGAGTACAGTCGGCAGCCAAGATTCAAAGAACTGTATAGGACGTTTCCCCTCCGTGCCCTCTTCCAGATTGAGGACACGGATATTGTCCCGCCTGCTCCGGTTCTCCATATCATCCAGGTTTTCTGCCATTATCTTACTTTTCTTCTCTGCTTCGGCAACTCTTAGCTCCAGTCCGGCCATTGTGTCTTCCACATCCGAAACTCGCTGCTCCGCCGCGGTGATGCGTTTGGACTGGCTCTCCAAAGTTGAGGAGATTTTTTCTAGAGTCTCTGAGAATTTAGAGAGCTTTTCGTCCATGGCCTTGGTAAAACTTTGGGTTACCTCGCGGATCAGAGTCGCGGTGTCCACAATAGGCAGAGGCCCATCGTCTTGTAAATTGGTAGAGTCGCTAGCAGAGCTAGCATTAGCAGCTGGAGTATTTGTCAACTTCCTTGACTGAATTTTCGTCTGTTTCGACATGGTTAATCACCAGCAAAGTTCATTAGTTTGTTGCCACTTATTTAGTTGCTATTTTAAGCTAAGAGGGGTGTAGTAAGTTGCAAGAAAGTTTGTTAATGTTGTGTGGGAGCGGGAGCTCAGCGAAAACACGTCCTCAGCCAGTCATAGTCACGTGCCCCCCCCCCAAAATATTTTTTTTTGTTACAAAAAAATTATATTTCAAATAAATGCTGTTCTTTTGAACTTTTCAGCAAAGAATCCTGAAAAAGTTATCACCGTTTCCAAAAAAAAAATATTAGGCAGCACAACGGCATTTCTTTTACTGCATTTCTTATCGAATAAACGTAGCCTTGGTGAGCATAACACACTTAACTTAATACTTAAAGTATACCTGGACAAATAAGTGATTTTATTTACAAAATGATTTACAAATTGAATTTAATGAAATAATTAACCACACAGGGTCCAACATTAAAATCCATCTAGCGGAAAATACATGGAAAAATTATCTATCCAGTTAGTCTTGTGTAACCATACTTACGATAATGGCATGAAGTCTGCCACCAATTGCAAGACATTCTATAGCAGTCAGTGTCAGAAATATTAGGGTGAAACAACTGTCCTCTTTTCATCATGAAGAAAGCTAAGCTCATGAATGAACATGTATGACAACATTATCATGTTTTGTACTCCAAATTAATTTTTCTGTTTGTCTCCGATTGGCAGGTGTCCCACCGCTGACAGGGACTGGAACTCTATTTATTCACCTGAATGATGAAAATGATAACGTACCAATGCTAGAAGTGAACACAGTCAACATATGTCTGGATAAAGAGCCCACAGTGGCCAACATCAAAGCTGTAGACCTGGACCTTCCTCCACATAGTTCACCTTTCCACTATGAGCTTTTAGGAGATGTTAAGGACAAATGGAGAGTTGAACCAACCCATGGTAATACCACCATCTACTTCACTCATCCCAATCCACCCTACACTATTCCTCACTGAATGTCCTGTTTCAATCTGGAAAAAACATCCCAGAAGTAAAATAAGTTGTCATTTAAAATAAATAAGAACAGCGTTATGTTGTGTTACTCTAGGTCAGGGGTGCCCAATCCAGGGGCCTCATTTATAAACGTTGCCCACGCACAAAAGGCGTCGTACGCCGCTCTCCACGCAATGATTGGTATTTATAAAAAGCAAACTTGACGGGAAAATGTGCGGTCCTTCACGCAAACTCCCACCCAGGTGTACTCACAAAAATGGGCGAAATGAGAAATGGCAGATGGAAGAAACACGTGAAAGTGTGTGAAACTGTAGACCATTGTGTAAAAGAAATGGCAAAATTGCGCCTCATAAAAAACATGAAGATGTCACAAAGCAAGTCTTACAATTGACAGTCTACTCGAACACCCGTTTTTTTCACCAGTAATACAAACAAAATCAAACGAAGATTACAACAGAAATGCAAATTAACACATATTTGCAAAAAGAAAAGTGAAATATGTTCTGGAATACAAGAGAGGTTTACTGTGGCTTATATTGGTGTGCTAGCAATTCATCCTCATAACACATCTGTAGCTTGTCAGATGCAATCAAATGGATGGTAATAAAATGCCATGATGCCAATGCGTAATGACGCACAAGAAGTTACATTTCTCGGTTTTCCTCTGTGTCTGCCGTGATTTCACAATCGATGAATATTAACTTGTGGGCGTTTCACGGACTATTTATGGGCAATTATGGGTTTGACATGAAGCTGCAAAAGCTGCGCTACATTTAGAATTGATTTATTAACGGAAAACTGCGTAGGATCTGCTTGCGTACATTTTTATAAATCCGAATATTTCTGTATGTAGGCACGTCCAATGTTTCATCCGTACGCCACTTCTGATGTAAATCCAACGTACAGTTTTATAAATGAGGCCCCTGATCCTGCTGATTGACTGTCCTGCACAGTTCATCTTCAACTCTAATCAAACTTGACTTTAAAAAAGTGATCCTGAAGACCTTAATTGGTTTGATTAGATTTGGAGATGAACTGTGAAGGACAGTCGATCGGCAGGAGCAGGATTGGGCACCCTTGCTCTAATAATGCCCAACGCATTCTCATCCTTTAGCATCATATAGAACGCTATATGACAAAACGGCGCTATACTACGCACATGGCACCCGTTATTGTAAAAATTACACGCGCTGTGATGGTTAGGTTTAGGTGTGGGGTAGGGTAGTCTGATATTACGCTAAAGGATTTATGACGCCTTGGGTTTGTGTGAATATTAACGATAAAGGGTGCCATGTGCGTAGTATAGCGCTGTTTTGTCATATAGCGTTCTATGTGACGCTAAAGGATGAGAACGGGCTGTTATGCAAGAGATCTCTGTCACACTGGCAGTTTAGTTCGGAACGGGGCACAATTCGCTTGAAAAATCGCTATCGCATGTGAATGCTGTCATGGGACTTGGG